CCATGCCATAACATCACATACCATACCATATCATATCATGCGCAACATAGTAGACATAATACGACAGAACATAACAGAGCACGACATATCATGACAAAACAATGTATACCATGAAAGAGCATAGCACAACATCACGCCACATAACACACCAGCACAGAACGTCCCATAACAAAAAAACGCATAACATCAGAGAACAAACCACATCAGATAACAAACTCACATCACAGAACAAGCCAAAACCACGCCGGACCCCCAATTGTCCCGAGAATCCCCGGGTTCTTGCCGCCGTCCCGCTGCGGGGGGCCTCCTCGCCTGCGTCCCTCAGTCTAAAGATGGGAGGGGGGAAGGAGGAGGGGAAGGAGGCATGGGGCAGGAGGAGGAGAGGAGGACATGGGCCCAAGGTTTCGGTGGGGATCGCTCGAAGCAAATAATCCCACCAGCCCTCTGGGCGTCGGTGGTTTAGAGCGTTTCCTCTTCCACCCCTCCTTCGTCCCCTTCGGGGAGGGATGTATCACTGTTCCCTATTTGTGAACACCCCCTCCCCCAGGCGACTGGGGGCCAACCAGGGACCATGACGACCCCCCCACCATCCCTTCTAAAAACAATACCAAACACACTCTGCCTCCAAATTCGGAACATGCGCAGCCAACCCGATGCGGCCCCCCCACCATCCCTGTCAAAAAACAATACAGAGTACACTTGGCGGCGGCGGCTGCGGCGGCTGCGGCGGCTGCGGCGGCGGCTGCGGCGGCTGCGGCGGCGGCGGCGGCGGCGGGGGCGGCGGGGGCGGCGGGCGGCGGCGGCGGCGGCGGTGGCGGCAGCGGCTGCGGCGGCGGTTTGGTAGCGGGGGGCGGCGGCGGCGGCGGCGGCGGCGGCGGCGGCGGGCAGCGGCGGCGGCGGCGGCGGCGGAGGCGGCGGCGGATTGGCCCCCAGTAGCTGCCCATCCAAAGACGGGTGCTGAATATGCTGAGGCTCGGGCCAGACTCGGGTGCTACGTATGTGTTGGGAGGGCGGGTGGGAGTGAGCGAGACGGCTTGCGGGCGGGGAGGGGGTCTTGACCCCTCCCCCTACCCCCTCCCCTTGGACCTGGACAGGGGGTTCCGCGAGTCGTCGGAGCGTCAGAAACGGCCTCGGCGAGGAAGCCAAAATCATTGGTTTTACAAAGGTTTTGGCCCCATGTTGGCCTCGTGGGGGGGACCCTAATTAAAGCTCCCCTCTTGTTTGATCGATCTTCTCTAAGACGGCCCCAAGAAGCGCCCAGGAGGCCCCAAGAGGTCCCAAGATGGCCCCAAGATGGGCCCAAAAGGCCCCCAAGAGGCCCCCAGGAGGCTCCCGAAAGACCCCCAAGAGGACCCAAGAGACCCCCCAGAGGCACCCAAGATGCTCCAAGAGGCCTCGGCGAGAATGCCAAAACGGCCTCGGCGAGGAAGCCAAAATCATTGGTTGTACTGCGGTTTTGGCCCCATTTTGGCCTCCTCGGGGGCGGACGCTAATTAACTCTTGTTTGATCGATCTCCTCCAAGATGGCCTTAAGAAGCGCCCAGGAGGCCCCAAGAGGTCCCAAGATGGCCCCAAGAGGCCCCCAAGAGGCCCCCAAGAGACCCCCCAGAGGCGCCCAAGATGCTCCAAGAGGCCTCGGCGAGAATGCCAACACGGCCTCGACGAGGAAGCGACCATCATTGGTTTTACGAGGGTGTTGGCTCCATTTTGGCCTCCTCGGGGGCGGGCGCAAATTAATGCTCCACTCTTGTTTGATCGATCTCCTCCAAGATGGCCCCAAGAAGCGCCCAGGAGGCCCCAAGAGGTCCCAAGATTGCCCCAAGAGGCCCCCAAGAGGCCCCCAGGAGGCCCCCCAAAAAACCCAAAGAGGCCTCCAGAGACCCCCAGAGGCACCCAAGATGCTCCAGGAGGCCTCGGCGAGAATGCCAAATCATTGTTTTTACGAAAATGTTAGTCACATGTTGGCCTCTTGGGGGGGGGGCACTGATTAAGATCAAGAGCGCCTGGGAGAGCCCAAAATGATCTCCAAGATGGCTCAAGAGATCCCAAGATGTCTCATAATGGCTTCCCCTGTGTGCTGCCCACTTCTCTGGTCGAGGCAATTCCTCTGGGCATCGTTTCTGGATGGGCTGGTGGGGATTCGCGAAACATCAACAATTCGTTGTCGTAGCGTTTCCAGACCGGTTGTTTAGCGTGCTCAGCCTAAACACGCAAAACAAACGCCACCACAAAGCCACAACAACAGCCCTGAAAACGCTAACACAACGTAGAGTTGGTTTAGCGCTTTCAGTCTGTCCAGAGCACAAAGTAGACAACGCAACACTAAACGCCCAGGGTGTTTTTAAAAGGCTAACCAAGGTGGTGATGGGGTATGGGGTAGTAGACATGATGTGAGGGGGGAAAGTGAAGGATGTGGACGAGTGATGGGGGAGGGCTGAAGGCAGAGAGACGCACGAGGGAAACAAGGGGGGGATGGAGCGAAGACGGATCAGGCATGAAGAGGAGAAGGAGGCGGGTACAGGGGGGGGAGGCTGAGGAGGGAGGGCAGGGATGAGGGGGTAGCGGGCAGAGGATGAAGAAAAGGAGGGAGAAACGAGGAAAGGCAGAACTGGGGAGGAGCAGCAGGGTGACGGAGAAGAAAGGGGGAGGGGGGCGGATGAGGTGGACGAAGGAGGACACACCCGCCAGAGCCGTGCTCTGTCAGCTGCTCTGTCGATCCTGGCCCCGCGCCGACTTCTGCCTCCGCTGTGCGTGCCGTGCCCGCTCCTCGATGGTCTCACCCCGCTTGCCGCTCCCCCCGCTCGCGGCCAGCATCGTTTTCCTCTTCCGCCCTTTCCTTATCCTTTCCTTCCTCTCCCCCCCCCCCTCCTCCTCCTCCTCCTCCTCCTCCTCCTCCTCCTCCTCCTCCTCCTCCTCCTCCTTCTCCTAGTCTGTCTTCCTCCTGCTCCTCCTCCTCCTCCTCCTCCTCCGAAGCGTGGCCCACAAGGAGGGGGGGGAAAGGGGGCAGCAGGAGCAGGAATCGGCGGCGAGCCCGGGGGGGGGGGGGAAGAGGGAGAAGGCCTTCTCGGAAGGCTCGGCAGTCCCCCCGGCCCTGTGAGAAGTCTCCCTCGGCTCTCCCCAGAAGGCACGGAGGGCTGCCGACAACTTCCGAGAGGGCGCGAGGGCTTCCGAGAGGACCCGCCGCCGTCCGAGAGGGACTGCTCTCCTTCGCCCTTCCCCCCCTTGCCCTGCTCGCCGCCGAAGGGGCGCCCCGTGTGGCCAGGTCGAGCGAGCCAGCGGGCCCCGCCCACCCCCCCTAGGACAAGAGAAGCGGTAGCAGCGCAGCACGGCCCCGGGTCGGGCACGTCCCCGTACAGGCGGATGTTGGACGACAAATAAAGCACACTCCAGATTTCGTCATAAAAGGGAGGGGGTCTTGACCCTCCAAGACAAGCCATTTCAGACCTCCCCCGTGGGAGAACCCTCCAAAACATCGTCCCCAGACCCCCCCAGGCCCTCCAAGATAGCCTGGAAGAGACCCCCCCCGTGGGAGAACCCTCCAAAACATCGTCCCCAGACCCCCCCAGGCCCTCCAAGATAGCCTGGACGAGACCCCCCCCCCCCGAAATGAGACCCCCCTCCCTTTATTACGAAATCTGGAGTACCCCCAACATGCTCAAAAGTAGTTGAAAATGGTCAAGTATCGTCCCCTGACTACTCTTTGACTATGCTTGAACTTCCCTCCTCCAGAGGGTCGGGGCCGACGCGCGCCCGCCCGCCGAACGACCGAGGAGTGCTCGCGCGCGGCCCCGCTTCCGACAGACCCTGGCGAAGGGGCAGACCACGGGCCGCGCACGGCCCTCTCCCTCTTCCTACTCTCGGGCCGGGCGAAAGGGGGGGGGGGATAGCGAAAGGGGGGGTTTGAGAATCAGCTCCCGTAGCTGATTTTCCCGGCGCCTCCCGGCGCCGGAAGGCGGCCATGTATCGAGGAATGGGCCCGGCGGCGGGGCCGAAACCAGCTGCATGCAGCAGATTTCGCATCCCCCCCCCCCTTTCCCTATCCCCCCCTTTCGTTCGGCCCGATTCTCCTCCTGCTCGCATTCAAATTCAGAAAACTTGTCTCTGAATTCAAAAAACTTGTTCTGAATCCAAAAACTGTTTTTTGAACTCAAAAACTCCTCCCCCTCCGTCCTCCTCCGTCCTTCTTCTCCTCCGGCCCCCACCCTCCGTCCTCCGCCCTGCCCCTCCGCCCTCCTCCTCCGAGCGGAGTTTCCAGACAACCATGGCGCGTCGCTGCGGCGAGAGCACAGCTTGGCCCCCTTCCGCGCGGCCAGGTTCCCGATGATAGAGCGACGAAGGCAAAGCTTTCGCCGCGCAGGAGCAGCACTGCCACTTTCACGCATTATCTGCGCGGCGCTTGGGCGAGAACAGCACTTCTCCCGCTCACGCACGGCCTCGGTGCTGCCTTCTGCCGACCCGGCGAACGAACATAACAACTGTGCGCCGCAGGCGAATCCAGCCTTGGCGACGAGGGCTGCCGCCAGAGAACCCAGAAAGCGCAGACGACGCAACAAACAGCTAAATCCTTCTCCTCCTCATCTCTTTCCCTGGAAGTCTCTGGCAAGCCCTGGGCCTCCAGGGGTCTGTGGAGTGCCAGATGGCCCCAGGACCACTCCGGAGGCCTCCTGAGCCACAAGATGGGCCATAAACATCCAAATTACCAAGTCCCCGAACTAGAGGAACAGACAACGGCATAAACGTCATCTTTCGACGGTCCGCGCAGATCTCTGGGATCTGGGCTGAGAGCCCCGGCGCTGGAGGCGCCGCCAGAGAGCCCAGCGCGGGTCCAAGACATCCGCGCGGGCCGTCGAAAGCTTCTGTTGTGCCGTTCTCTGTTCTTCGACAGGCTTCGATCTCCTCCTCCCTCCTCCCTCCTCCCTCCTCCCTCCTCCCTCCTCCCTCCTCCCCCTCCTGGGCCAGGAGCGGGGGGAGGGGCGGGCGGTCGGAGGGGGAGGGCCCGCCTCTGCTGCCCTGGGTGTCCGCATCGGCCAGGTCGTCCAGCGACTTGGGGAAGATCGTGCCTCCCCTCCCTCGTGGGCGGGAGGCCCTCGGGAGGCGACGATGGGGGCGAATAACCCCGGGCGGGGGGGCAACGCATGCCTCCAGCAGCGCCGATGGCCCATGCCTTCGGTGAGGCGCCCGTGCAAATGCGTGCAGTGCCCGCCCCTGGGCTATTGAATAGCCCAGGGGCGGGCATTCTGCTCCGCGTGCCGCGGCGGCGGCTCTGGCGGCACGCGATGCCCTGCGCGTGGGTGGCGTGTCGCTCCGCTCCGCGGGGCGGGAGGTCGAGCGAGGCTCGGGACGTCGACTCCTGGGGGCCAGAATCGGCGGGGCGGCACGCAAGACCAAAACTCCTGACCGCAGCCATATCCAGGGCCATATCCAGGGCCGGGAGCGTGGTTTTGGACGCCCGAAATGGGTACGGAAACGAGGGGCACGATGCCCAACAGCAAGTGTCGCCCCAAACCACCAGCGGCCGCTTTTGGGCAGGCGGCCTTCTGTCTCGAATGGACACGGGCCGCGGCGGCGCGGACAGCGAGTCCTGCCCTCCCACGCGGACAGCGAGTCCTGCCCTCCCACATGGACGGGAACTGCTGTTGGGCACTGTGCCCATCCTTTCCGTGCCCACTTCGTTCGTGCCGAGTGGTCAGCGTAGGAGGAGGAGGAGGAGGAGGAGGAGGAGGAGGAGGAGGAGGAGGAGGAGGAGGAGGAGGAGGAGGAGGAGGAGGAGGGCGGAGGAGGCGGAGGAGGATGAGGAGGAGGAGGAGAAGGAGGAGGAGGAGGAGGAGGAGGAGGACGAGGAGGAGGAGGACGAGGAGGAGGCGTGCCGCGTCGGGGCGTTGTGGGCCAGAGCCGGCGGGGCGACACGCAAGACCACACCTCCCGACCGCAGCCACAGCCCCAGGGCCTCGAGGGGCCGGCCCCTGGGCCGCGGCCCGCGTGGACGCGTGGAGCTGAGGAGGAGGAGGAGAAGGAGGAGGAGGAGGGAGGAGGAGGAGGAGGAGGAGGAGGAGGAGGAGGAGGGAGGAGGAGGAGGAGGAGAGGAGGAGGAGGAGGAGGAGGAGGAGGAGGAGGAGGGAGGAGAGGAGGAGGAGGAGGAGGAGGAGGAGGAGGGAGGAGGGAGGAGGAGGAGGAGGAGGAGGAGGAGGAGGAGAGGGAGGAGGAGGAGTAGGAGGAGGAGGAGGAGGAGGAAGAGGAGGAGGCCCACGAGCGCCCCCCCCGCGCGCGGCTGTCCACGGGAGCTCGCGCCCTGGAATCCAGGCCGCGAGGGCGTGGTGACGTCGGCTGCACGCGCAAGTGGCCCTAGGCAAGAGATCCCCTCTCGTCCGCAGCTCAAGGGGTGTGCGGGGGGCAGACAAGAACGCGCACGCCGATGCTATCGCATCGCGTTCAGCAGTCGGGGGACTCCAAAGGTCACTCCAACACAAGGTCACTCTTACATGTGATCGGGTATGAATGTATCCGATAGTCTACTCTGCTCTACTCTACCCAACCCTACCCTATATAAACGGCCCAATCCGATCCCGACGCAAGCCTCGAAATGACCCCCCCTCCAGTCTGCGGGCCGCAACTCCTGACCCAGACCGAAAAGAACACAAACCTCTGATGGCCGTTCCCGGCCACGTTCGCGGGCGGGCGCGTGCAAGGCTACGACGATGCAGTGCAGAGGATGAGGAAGAGGAGGAGGAAGAGGACGACGATTTTGAACACCACCGCGCCTGCCAAGATGTACGCCAGAGAGGACGGCGCCTCCTCCTCCTTGGGGAAGGACCAGCGCCAAAAGCAGACACTGGCAGAAGAAAAAGATCTGGGGGTGCGCGAGGTCCGAGACACTGCAACTTACGCCACCCAGATGGAGCCTCGCCCGACACCTAGCACTCCACCTGGGGCGGCACTCGATTTGTTTCGCCCTCAGGAGAGGGGGGCCAAGAACATAATACCGTCTGGCATGACACAGGAGCCAACTGCCAGAGGAGCAGGGGCGGAGGCTGAGCCTGCGTCGTGCCCCCCTCGCCAAAAGCAGGGCACGAAGCCTGCGCGGCCAGAGAGAACAGACAGCGGGCTGGGCGATACTGCCCTGGATACAACACCAGGGGCAGCACGACAGATGAGCAATCATCATTGCCGTTGCCAGAAGTACTGGATCCTTCCGCTGCTAAAAGGCGCAGGGAGGTTCGGGGCACCCTGAGGTCTTCCTCGTCATCGCGAGGCACGCGGCGAGGAATCGGATCCTGAGCAGGTTCAGGATCAGAAGCGGAAGCTAATGTGGGGGAGTCTTGGGAGCATGACCCAACTAGCCAGCCCGCAAACGATTCCATGTAGCACGCACAGAGGACGAAGGCCCCTGACTTGACCTCCACCGGTGCGAACGTTGCAGCGCGTGCAAATGTACATGACAAGCTGTGGTCGCTGGCATCCAATAGAAGCCTGTGGTGACCGATCTCGACGTGGGAGAACCTACTCCACGGATGCACATGCCTGGGCCACCGCGACACCTGCCAACATCAGGAGAGAAGGGAGTCTGAGGATGGGTCCCTGGATGTGTCGAAGTCGTTCGGGCGTCCGCTTGGCAAGTGGAATGCGTACTGCACTCGTGCGCTTCTGCGTGCCACGCGCACTCGACAATTCAACACCAAGGTTGCACTCAGAATGCGCACTAATAGCTTAGACGGAAATGAAACACTTTTGGAGCTGCGCCTGCAGCTCATGCTCAACCATGCATAAGGCCCCTGACACCTCATACGAGATACGCTGAGCTTCCCCACATCGTGGCAGACTCACATCGCCCACATAGACAGCAATGGGCACGGTAGGGTATTTCTGACGAGCGGCGTCTATAGGGTCCCACCAACATGAGCTGCAGAAGGCACGTGGTGAAAAAGCAGCCTGGCAAAATCCCACCAGCCCTCTGGGCGTCGGTGGTTTAGGGATTTTCCTCTTCCACCCCTCCTTCTTCCCCTTCGGGGCGGGGTTTACCCCTCCCCCGACTCTCTCCCCTGGACCTGGATGGGGGGGGTCGCGAGTCGTCGGAGCGTCCAAAACGGCCTCGGCGAGGAAGCCAAACTCATTGATCTTACAAAGGGTTTGGGCCCCATTTTGGAATTCTGAGGGGGCGACTGTAATCCGTAAGCCCCCCTTCTTTGATCGATCTCCTCCGAGATGGCCCCAAGAGCGCTCCCAAGGCTCCCAAGGGTGCCCCAAGAGGGTCCCAATAGGTGGCCAGGAGGCCCCAAGAGGCCCCCAAGAGGCCCCCAGGATGCCCCTAAGAGGCTCCCGAGAGACCTCCAAGAGACCTCCAAGAGGCCCCCCAGAGACACCGAAGACGCTCCAAGAGGCCTCGGCGACAATGCCAAAATCGTCGATTGTACTAAGGTTTTGGCCAAATTTTGGCCTCCTGGGGGGGGGCACTGCTTCAGATGACTCCAAGAGCGCCTGGGAGAGCCACATATGATCTCCAAGATGGCTCAAGATATCCCAAGATGCCTCAAGATGGCGCCCACAATGCTCCAAGAGGCCCCAACACCGCTCCAAGACGGCTCCAAGTGGCCAAAGAGCTCCCCCAGGAGGCCCCGAAGAGGCCAACATCCTTCCAAAACCTTTGGAAAATCTATGTTCTTGGCTTTCTCGCCGAGGCCTCAAGATGGCTCCAAGATGGCCCAAGAGGGCTCCAAGAGCGCTCCCAAGGCTCCCAAGAGCGCTTCAAGAGGGCCCCAAGAGGCGTCCAGGAGGCCCCAGGAGGCCTCAACAGGCGCCCAAGAGGCCTCCAAGAGGCTCCCAAGAGACCCCCAAGAGGCTCCACGAAGCTCTCCGAGGCACCCAAGACGCTCTAAGGGGCGTCCGGGACCGCCAAGAGGCCCCCGAGACGCTCCAAGAAGCCTCCACTGGGGGACCCTTCCTCTGTGTGCTGCCCGCTTCCCTGATCGAGGCAATTCCTTTGGGCCTTCGGGCATCGTTTCTGGATGGGCTGGTGGGGATTCGCGAAGCGTCAACAATTGCCTGCAGCTCCTGGCCGCACAAGCCTTGCAACTCAAGCACTCGAGGGGCTGCCATTATGTTTTCAGAATGTCGCGTATGAGTCGAGTTTGGGCTCGACATAGACACTGTACAAGCCCAAGCGGCCTGACTCCTCAAAGCATCTTGATGGTCAAAGCGATGCGCGTTATGGGGGGACTGACGCACGGGGGGAAGCATCGATCTGGAATCGGCGATACATCGCCGATTGATCGGCGATGGGCGCCCGATGGCGAATCCCCACGCTCCTCGAAGTTCGTTGCCAGTCCCCTCCTGTGCCCAACCCCTTCCGACGCTGCCCCCTCCGCTTGCTCTGGCCGCGCCTCGCCCTGCGTGGCCCTGGGGAACTTCTGACCCGGGTCAATCCAGACCCGGGTCAGTCAGGCCTTGCAGCTGCAAGATCCTGCAGGATCCTGCATCCAAACCTGGGTCAATGCGACCCTGGCCCTGCACGATCCTGCAAGACCCCGCGCTCTGGCTGACCCCCGTTTGCATTGACCCCCGTCTCAAGGCTCCCAATGGCTCCCCGCCCATCCCCGCACCGGTGTTGCCACTCTGCACGGCCTCGTTGTTGGGGAAGGCCTCTGCAGGCAGCGCCCAACCCCATGGAGGAGGCCCCTCGGCAGCCCCGGCTGGGAATTGAGCACCAATGCAGGTCCACATCCTCCTCCTCCTCCTCCTCCTCCTCCTCCTCCTCCTCCTGCTCCTCCTCCACATCCTCCTCTTTCTCCTCCTCCTCCTCCTCCTCCTGCTCCTCCTCCTCCTCCCTCCTCCTCCTCCTCCCCTTCCTCCTTTTCCTCCTCCTTCTCCTTCTCCTCCTCCCTCCGTCTCCTCCTCCTCCTCCCTCCCTCTTCCTCCTCATCCTCCTCCTCCTCCCTCCTTCTCCCTCCTTCCACTCTTCCTCCTCCCTCTTGTACTCTCTTTTCCGTAACAGAATCCTCCTCGTCGCACTCCGTTGGCCAGGCTTTCCGCCCGAGACCTCATCACCCTGGAAGATCCTGAAACATGAAATTGCAACAGCTTCTTCACGGATGGAAGGTGGGTGAGTTTCATAATATGGCTGTCGCCTTGGCGCCGCGCACAGCCGTCTTGAAACATACCACATCTTCAAGGATGGTTGGCGGGTGGTTTTCAAAATGTGGCTCTGGCCGTAGCGCCGCGCACATCCGTCTTGAAACATGACAAGAGCTTCACGGATGGAGGGCGGCTCATGTTCAAAATGTGGCTCTCGCCATAGCGCCGGGCACATTGTCTCACAAATTTGCAGGAGCTTCGCGGATGGAGGGCGGTCCACTTTCAACATGTGGCTATCGTCCGCCGTAACGCCGCGCACATTCGTTTTAAGAACTTACGACAGGTTGAAGGACTCTCGTGGTACAGTACAAGACATGGTGTTTTGGCACGATGTCGGATTGTCAGAGAAAAATCCCACCAGCCTTCTGGGCGTAGGTGGTCTAGGGAAGTTTCTCTTCCAACACCCGTATTACACGTCGATCATTTATAATCGTGCTCATTTCTAATTGTGCTCGCTTCTAATTGTTCCTGGCCCCCTAGTGGCCAGGGAAGTGCCCAGGATAGAACAATTAGAAATGACAGGATCATGGCCCCCGAACACATCTCGAGATAGCTCAGGATCGCTCACGATGGCTTCCAAGATGCTCCAAGAGGCCCCAAGACCGCCCCAAGACGACCCCGAGACTCCCAAGGAGACCCCCCCGAGGCACCCAAGACGCCCAAGAGCCCCCTGGACGGCCAAGGAACCCCCAAGACGCCCAAGAGGCCTCAAAGAGGCGCCCACGAAATATCCCAAGAGACTCCGAGGGGCGTTCATGAAGCCCCTGGCCCTTTTGCTCGCCCCCTTCCTCCTCCTCCCCCTTCCTCCTCCTCCTCCTTTTCCTCCTCCTCCTCCTCCTCCTCCCTTCCTCCTCCTCCTCCTCCTCCTCATCCTATTCAGCATCCCTCTCCCTACTCCCTCATCCATCCATCCATCTTCCTTCTCCTCCTCCTTCGATCGGTTCGGCTGTGCCCCCCTTTGTTCCTACAATCCCCTGATCACCTCAACTCGCCTGGGCGTCGTTTCTGGATGGGCTGGCGGAAATGTTCTTTGGGGGCCCACGGACGCGTGAAACGAGTCGAACGCCGGGCGTGCTCGGGCGGGCCGCACGCGTAGCGAAGTCAACGGCTGGCTGGTGGGGACAGTTTTGGGTTAGCGGGCGCGAGAAGCAAGTCGAACGCCGAGCGTGCTACGGCGGGCCGCGTTGGTAGCGACAGGGAAAAACAGCGCAGGCAACGGCACCCACGCCGCGGCACCGACCACGCGAGCAGGCAAAACAACGTGCCGAAGACGAAGGCCACGTAGGCGCGGCCAGCGTGGCGACCGGGAAATACAGGAAGGACACGAAGAGGGCGCCGGAGACGAGAACGGATGGCGGCGGACAGACTCACCGCGTGCCAGAGGTAGACGCAGCCAACATGGCGAGACAAGGCTGCCAGGTGGCAGAAGAGGGACACCGTGGGGAACCTAGTAGCCGAGACCGAGCGTCCCAAGCCAACCTTGCCGTGCAGGTAGAACTCCAGATGGCCATAAACCGACGACGAGAACTCTTGAGCGCGAACCAGAAGAGCATGCCGGCACGAGCGGAACGCGCAAGTGATGACGAAGCTGGTGGGGACACATTTTTGTTCGCGAGCGCAAGCGGAACGGCCGCGCGCCGTCGCAAGGGTCAAGCAGTCCTGAAGCAGCGGCTGAGGACAGGAGCTGCGGGCACGCGGCACGCTCAGAGGCCAAAAGCGAAGAGCAAAAACGCCAAACCCACGTGCACAAAGAACCTCAGCAACCTGGTACGCGAAGAACACGTACACACTCGGCCCCTATGAAGAAGTCGACGCCAAGCTGGTGAGGATACTTTTTCGGTCGCGTCCGCTAGCGAGGGCGCTAGCTAGCGGAGTCAGAAGCGCTACGGGTCACGACAGCGGCCTAATGAGCAGCTAAACGCGCAGCGAGCCGACCGGCCCACTCATCCAGCAGCGGCTGACTGCGCGGGGGGAGCGGCAAGCTGAAGGCGTCCAGGGTGCTCGAGCACTTGCAACACGGCAAGATGCTGGTGAATTCAAGATGTGCCGAGTGGCTAAACCCAAACGGAGCGTGAGGACGATAGCTGTGGGCTGCGTATCCAACATGCCGTCTGAGTCAAGATGTGCCGAGTGGCTAAACCCAAACGGAGCGTGAGGACGATAGCTGTGGGCTGTGTGTCCAACATGCCGTCTGAGTGCCCAAACGTGGTAAGCGATGGGCAGTCGCCGGTGGGGCGCCACGCCCAGGTCGCGCCAACGGCGTGTGCGAGCAGACTGAGCTGCTCCGCCGCGGAACGTCGAAGACCAGGCTGGGGGTGGGACGGGCCTGGGGGGGCGGCCACGGCTGCGAAGGCTGAACCACTCGAAGCGGGCTGACCTCCAGGGGCCGTCATCCCGCGCAACATGAGGAGCCACCGAAACTGCAGGGGGCCATCCAAGCACAGCTGCGCGGGCGCCGGCTGAAGCGCTGCGTGAGGCCAAGCTGGTCGGAAGGAACATCGCCAGCAAGGTGGGGAATCCAGGGTGGAACTGTGCTGGTGGGGATACGCGAAGCGTCAAGACTTTACGTCGATTCGTGGTGTTGAAATCCCCGAAATGGTGTTTTGGCGCGATTCAGGGTCGTCACGGTGATCAGCGGCGTTGGAGTCCCAGGAATGGTGCTCTGGCACAGGTACAAATTTTCTGTTTGTCTTCCCACGGGGCACTTGCTTCAGTGAAAATCCATCCTTGTAGGGGCCTATGCAGATGGGACTTGGAAAAAGGGTTTACTGCAATATCGTGGATGAGTCGTGGGTTCATTCTGGTACTCCTCCTTCTCCTCCTCCCCCACCTCCTGTTCCTCCTCCTCCTTCCTCCTCCCTCCCCCCGCTGAGGGCTCAACGACGTCTGCGGTCCCGCGACTCGCGATGAATCTTCCACGACGTATCCAGATTTCTCTGGAGATCTCTGGATTTACCTCGATGTATTTTGGCTCACGGCGGATTTCGTCAACCCGCACCCTTTTGCTTGGCTCTACTCCACAAGTCGACTGGAGAAGAGTCGCCAAGCCCTTGGAGATCCCCCCTCCTCTTGGCGCTGATACAGGACCCTGCGCGGATCGCTCAACCTGGAACGATCGGCGGCTTGCTGATCGCCGGATCGTCCCACACTGGCAGGTTCTGGACCTCTGCTTCTTCGATCGGAGGGGAGCATCTGCGTGATTTCTTGAAGCGAATAGACTGATGCCATTATGGACAGACCGTGCAATGACCTCGAAACCCCTAAAGACCTCAACGCACGGCCAGCCACGGTACGATTTTGGGGGCCCCGGAGGGCCCAATCGCTCGAGATGTCGTCGGAGGCCGAACACCGGGCATCAGAAAGGAAGGGCCCACACCGCTACCCTTCCCTCGTTTTCCCATGTTTGGGCCTCCTGGGAGGCCCTCGTCGCCACCGCTGGATTCGCCTCGAAATCCTGACCAGGACGCACCCCGAGAGAGGTCTAGGGAGTCGTGGTATCGGTACCTGTTGGTCTCCCCAGGGCACGGATCAATGCGGGATCTCTGAGATCCGGCGGTTCTCCGAGATGTCTTGGGCGCCGCGGCCTTCTCAGAGCGTTCCAGGGCGCTCTGAGAGCGTTCCGAAGCACTCTGAAACGACTTACCCCTGTCCCAGCCCCGCTCGAAGCCACCTGGCTGCTTCTGGGTGAGCCTGCAGGGGAGCCTCTGTGGATCTCCGCGGCCTTATCGTAGGCGTGATTTCGACAGGACCTCTTTCAGATTTCGACCACCCCTCTTCACTTCCAGATTTCGTCAAAATGACGTCCAGACTCCGATCAAATCAAGACGAACTCCCCCGAACGTAATTTTGGGATCCTCTGAGGCCCCCATGAAGGACCGCATAACTGCTTGCCAGGAGATTCCGTAGAGAAGGCCAGGAGTCCTCTGACACGGACCGCGCCGTGCTCCCTCTGTAGAGGGCAGAAGAATCACCCTCAATGTAAGCACCCGACAAGCGCGAAGCTCTTCAGTGAGCGCTCCTGGTTGAGGAATCGAACAGGTAGGGCCGTTCAGTAAACGCCCAAGGCAATTTACTAGAGGCCCGATTTGGTAGAAGAAGAAACAGCTGCATAAACATCAACTTTCGGAGCTCCACGCGGATTTCTCGAATTGGCGCAGGACTCCCCCCCCCCCTCACTGGCGCTCGGGTTGCGCCAGTGGCGGCGCTGGAGGCGCCGAACAAGGAGGCCCGAAAGCTGATGCCTACAGGGGGGTCGGGCGTTTATGTTTCCCCCCTTGGCCTGGCGGTGCGCCCAGCGTCAGCGGGAAATGAAAAGGGGTGAGCCTTCTTAGAAGGCTCAGCAGGAGGAGGAGGAGGAGGAAAAGGAGGAGGAGGAGGAGGAGGAGGAGGAGGAGAGGAGGAGGAGGAGGAGGAGGAGGAGGGGGAACATGAAAAGGGGCGAACCTTCTTAGAAGGCTCAGAAGGCCTCTGGCCTGCCGAGAAGCTCACTGGGCCTCCCCCGCAGCCGCGGGGGGCCCTCTCAGAAGGCAAGAGGGCTTTGGAGAAACCCCGTCGCCTGCCGAGAAGGCCTGCGCAATTTTTTTCTTTGGCAAGCTGTCGAGCCCGTCAGAGCTCGTAGCGTCAGTCGACGGGCCGCTAGCCTGACGCCTCATCCTCCACACGGCAGGAAGCGCTCTCGCCAACAGCCCGCATGCAATCGCAGGGCATGCAGGGTAAGGCCTGCACCCTCTCGTCCCCCCCCCCACCCACTCACTCACTCACCCACCCACCCACCCACCCACCCACCCACCAACCCACAGACACAGACACAGACACAGACACAGACACAGACACAGACACAGACACAGACACAGACACAGACACAGACACAGACACAGACACAGACACAGACACAGACACAGACACAGACACAGCACACACGCACACACGCACACACGCACACACACACACACACACAATTGTTCGACGCCGGGAAGGGGTGCGGAAGCAGTGGGTACGATGCCCAGCAGCAAGTGCTGTCCAAAACCGGCATCGGCCGCGGTTGGGCAGGCGGCCTCCTGCCTCGAACGGGCGAGGCCCGCGGCGACACCGGCGGAGCAGATCCTGCGCGAAATAGGCAGGAAATGCTGCTGGTCTTCGTGCCCGTCCTTTCCGTACCACTTCGATCGTGCCGATCTGATCACCTACTCCAGATTCCATAACAAAGGGGGGGGGGTCACATTCGGGGGGGTCTAATTTGAGCTGTCTTGAGGGTTCGGGGGGGTCTGGGCAAAGGGCCGCCCTTTCATGGATAGTCTGGGGGGTCTAAAACTTTTCGTCTGGGAGGGTTGTGGCCCCCTCCCTTTTATTACTAAATCTGGAGTACCAGACCACCCCAACCCCACCCGGAGTCCCAAATTTTGGGGTGGAAGGCGTACGGGTCCCGTCTCTGCTTTCTAGAATGTTCCGGGCTGCCGCACTGCCCCTACACTGGGAGTGGAGGGCAACTTGGAGCCTTCGAGTTGGGTTGAGGAGGTCTTAAGACGAAATCGGACGACGATACATCGGACGATGATACATCGGACGAGGGTAAAATCGGACGACGATAAATCGGGAATCTCCGAGATCTGGCGGCTCTGGAAGATGTCTTGGGTTGCCGCGGCCTTCTCGGAGCGTTCCGGAATGCTCCGAAAGCGTTCTGGAACGCTCTAGAACGGACTTATCCTCGTCCCAGCCCGGTCCGAGGACTCGTGGGCCGTGTCGATCTCCCCCTTTGGCGCGCCGCCGATTGACTCCCGGGCCCCGGTGCTGCCCATCCCTCTCTGCTAAAGGGGCCCTGGGACACACAAATAAAGGGACAAAACTCCCAAGATTCCCCTGCCCTTTTCCATATCTTCGGGGGTTTCGTGTTCCCCCCCCCCCACCCCACACTTCCCATATTTCCCCTTTCTTGTCCTGGGAAGTCGACGATCACCTGGGTCTGTGTTTCTTTCCCCTCCTGCTCGGCACGTGCGGCCGGCGAGCCGGGCTCGCGCGGCGGGCCTCCTCCCAGCCGCAGGCGGCGGGGTCTGCGGCGCTGGGGCCGGACCTGCCGGCGGGGCGGGCAGCAGAGAGGGGAGGGGGAGGGGGACGAGGAGGAGCCGAGTCGAGAAGGAGGAGGAGGGAGGAGGAGGAGGAGGAGGAGGAGGAGGAGGAGGAGGAGGAGGAGGAGGAGGAGGGAGGAGAGAGGAGAGGAGAGGAGGAGAGAGGAGAGGAGAGGAGAGGAGGGAGAGGAGAGGAGAGGAGAGGAGAGAGGAGAGGAGAGGAGAGGAGGAGGAGAGGAGAGGAGAGGAGAGGAGAGGAGGAGGAGAGGAGGAGGAGGAGGAGGAAGAGGAGGAGAAGGAGGAGGCTAGACTCGACCCAGAAGGGTCCTGCAAACGAATTCGACCCTCGGGACCACCCAAGCCTCCCAGACTCAGCCCCAGCCTGGCACGGTCGCGCCAGGGGCAACGCTTGAGAGGTCGAGGGGGTCCTCGGGGCCCGACATACCACGGGCCTTACGGGCCTGGGCCTCTGCCCTGGCCTCCAGGGCTCTGGACCCCAACTGCTGGGCCTCTGCCAGCCGAAGCCCGAAAGACGACAAGACTTCCAGGACGCTGGGCCTCTTAGGGCCAGCAGCCGTCGGGCCACCCGTTTGGGCCACCACAGGAGGCTCGGGGGGAAAATGCCCAGACCAAAAACTGATCTCGGACTCGACGGGCGACCGCAAGCTCCCAAGAAGCATGTTCCCTCTGGGGTGCTTCAAGTGCTTCAACGCGGAATTGTTGTTCTTGGCGCTGGGGATCGGGCCTCCTGGACACTTATCCTGGAGCCCTCGTCCCCGCTTATCAGATACATACCCACGGCACGTTGTACAAAAGAGGAGGCAGCCGCTGGTCTGCTGGGCCGCGCGTGCCTTTTCATCCACGAAAATGGGCGCCGCGAGCAAGGCGTGCCCGCCGACGCGCCAGGGATGAAGTCCCGCGGGCACAACGTCGGGCCCCGACGTCGTGTTCCCCACATCTGCACTGGCACTGGCCGCGGTTTCACCGTCGGCACCCTCAGCCTCATCCTCGAACTCATATGGCCACTGCGGCCACTCACCGAGGCCGATCAGCCTCAGTGCCACCACGCCCATGGAGTCGAGCATGTTGGTGCGCGACAGCTGCACCTCGTGCGCGGCAGCGAAACGCGCCGCCTGGCGAGCCAGGGCCTGGCAACCCTCGACCACGTGGATGTCATCGAGGCTCGCTCTGGCCGACGCCGCGCCCTGCTTGGCTCGCCTGTCGGCGCGAGCATTGCCGTCCAGCTCGAACTGCGAGACGAGGCCATCTGCGACCGCCTTGGGGACCAAGTGGGCCTTGATCTTGACAACCGTCGCGTCTTGCAGCTGCTCTGCCTGGCCAGCCCACAGGTGCGCTCGCTGGCCACTGGCGGCGGCCGCCGCTGTAGGGTTGGCCGCGCAGCGCACCGTGGCCATGCAGTCAATGTAGAGCCTGTAGCGGCCCCCTGCCACCTGCGACGTGAGGACCCTGACAGCGTAGTCCTCACCGTCTCTGGCCAGCTGCTCGGGGGCTACCGCGATCGGAACCGCTCCCCACGCCTCCGCCACCAGCCTGTAGGCCTCGTCATAGACCACCACGGCCCATCCCGCGGTGCGCAGGCGCGGGTAGGCCTGGTCGAGGCCCGAGCCGTCCACAAAGACGTGGTGTCCGTGGAGGTGCGGTCCCAGAGTGTACCAGCTCGTCGTACTTTCGATGTGGTCCGCTCCTGGCCTAACAGGCCTGTCCATCAACTCCGAAACGGAGGAGAAGGAGGAGGAGGAGGATAGGGAGTCCACAAAGGACGTACGCGCCCAGCTATGTACATGAACACGGCCCCTTGACCCGCGAGACCGGCCGCGTAATACGAGCATTCGCGCAATGCGAAATCTCGAAAACAGCGTGGATTCATGTACGTGTACGTCCTTCTTCCGCTCCTGAGAGGAGGAGGAGGAGGAGAGAGTGGAGGGGGACGGGAGCGAGGAGGAGGCAAGGGCCGCCCGCCCTGCCCCCGCCTCTCTCCAGGCTTGCTGCTTCTTTTCACCCGTCAGACCTTTCTCATTTCCTCCTTCGATCTTGATCGGCCCCCCCCCTCCCCCCCCCCTCCCCCCCACCCCGCAGGGGCGCGAGCCGCGAGGGCGCAGCACGCGGCAGCCCGCCGCTCCCCGAGGTCCAGGCGTCGCTCTCTGTGCGCTCGCGGCGTGCGCCGCCGTGAGGATGACAGGCGGCTCAAAAGCGCCCCGTGGCGCGTGGGCGGGGGACACAGGTTTAAGCAGTGAGGTCGACCGAAGCGGGAGTGCGCCTGCCAATGAAGAGAGGAGCCACGGCGCGGAGGGCAAGAGGTGAGGAGCAAGTGTCACCTCGTCTGGGCGAACTTCAAGCTGAGATGGCCCGGATCAAGGGGACGAGGAGGAAGAGGAGAGGACATGAGGGGAGTGAAGAGGGCCGACACCAATTTGCTCCGGGCGATCCCCACCCAAGAACGCGAGAGCGGGATCCCCAGGGAACACCACCAGGCCCCTTGGGTTCTGGCGGCCGCGGTATGCAGTCGTCATTCGTCGAAGACGCGAGGCGGGATCCTTGGGGCCTGGCGGGCGCGGTATGCATGGTTGGCGAGTCGGGTCGGGAGTTCTTCTCCTCTAGATCTGACAACCACATCCTGTCGGGTGATGATGAAGGTGGTGGTGGTGGTGGTATGGTAAGAATGAGGCGGAGGATAAGGAAGAGCTGGGGAAAGACGCCATGGAGCAGCAACGAGGATCGGGAGACTATGTCTGCGGGCCTGCCACTGCGATGCTGATGCGTGCTGCACGACGGGCAGACGCTGAAAACTCCTGCGGACATCGCGCCACCCCTGTGAACACCGAGCCGTGTACGCTCTGACTGGCTGACGCCACAGAATGCTCCCTCGCCAGAACACAAACGACGACGCCGCCGACGCCGCCGACGGCCTTGGCGGCGGCCAGGCGCAACTAAACCCGAGCAGAAACGACATCGGATCTGGCCAAAATAATCGTGCGAACATCTGTCCATGATAATTAACGACATCAGTCTCCACTCCTTGCAAGTGCGGGCGCGTGAACGAGCGATTATTCACAAACTGCGCCCTCCAATCCAAGTGTCCGAGAGGGACTTGGAATCGTCGGCGCAACGTGTCGCGCGCTTCTTTGCGTCGCCAGCCCCGTCGGGTTAGGGATCGGTCATCCCCGCCGCCGCCATCCTCGTCCGCGGCGTCCAAACTCCTGGCCGACAACATCGCGAGCTCCATCGCGACGGTCACCCTCTGGACGGGGCCGCCGGCCAAGGTGGGCCGTGAAACCCGGAAGGTTTGGCGCGCGCTCGATCGCCATTTGAGGGCGCGTACCTGTTGTCCGAGATCATGGGGAAAATGGGCGGGGCAATGTTCTTGAAACGGCTTGGGCGCGCGAGTGCCGTCGGCGAGAGCTCCCCCGCGTTGCGGCCCCGAGCAATCGTTGGGCGATCTGACGCCCAACGATTGCGGGCGAGAAGAAATTGACGTTTGGTTGCGAACGAAACGTGCACTTGGAACCCGGACGTTCTGCCCAGCCACGCCATGCAAGTACCATTGCCAGTTTCACCACGCATTGCGCCGTGCTGTGCGCGCGTTCGCTGGCTGGAGCAAAGCACATGCACGGTTTGTCTTCAAACGTACTGTCATCTACACCACCCGGGCCCAAACGTTCAACGCAACTTAGACCAGTCAGATCCGTGCATCTCAAGATTTTCCTGCGACGTTGGGCTTCTCCGGGGCCGCAGCGGAAACATATTATAAGATCTCGCGCCGATGTGCGGTGCGTGCAGATAAATTGGGACACGTCGCCATCGTGTAATGCCGCGCACATCTCGCACCACGTACTGGGACAAGTGCACATGTGGGGAAACATGTCGGGGTCTCGCCCCAAGTTGCAAACCGCGCAGAGTACGATGTGCGTCATGTGGCAAACGACAGTGCGGACTCGATCCCAGACGGCACGGAAGCAACGCATCGCTCGGTAGTTGACGCTATGCATGTTGAGCCTTCCGAGGTCTGCGCCCCTGTCGACCACGATGTTCGCCCGCGCGCGCGTGTGTTGTCCGCCAGCGTGGAGGGTATTGATGTGAACTCGAAGACCAGTTTCTTCGGCGGCGTGAGCTTGGCCCCCTGCGAAGCGCGTCGGCTTGGGTATGCGCGCAAGTCTTCAACTCACATGTGCGATTATTGCCTTAAAAATGGCGGATGTCTTGGTTACGTTTATCGTAACCCCAAACGTAAATGTTTCGATGGCTCCAGATTTACATGCGCAAAACAACACCAACAATCTAGAGATATTTGCGCGCGGCCAGCTTGCCCAACACAGCAGCGCAGTCGCGTGGTTGCTCGAACATACCGCGTTGCGCCACACTCAGAGGCCCAATCTTGTTGGGCGCGATGATCGTGGAATAAATTGTCCAACATCGCCGTCAAGGGGCTGTCCCGCCTGAAGCCGGCGACGCATCCTCATGGGTGTTGCCTGTGCCAGATTACAAAACCATTGATTGCTGGTGGCCGTTACGACCTGAACCCCTTCTTCCCGAATTCTAATCGTGCTCGCGCTGAGCGCGCCGCCGCCGACGTGCTACAGTGCGTAGCCTTCGGGACCGGTAGGAATAGAATCTGTCTCCAGCAGCAACGGCGTATTCAGTCGCCCCGGGGGAACATCCAGAATCTCAATTCAGATTGCCACGTTGTCACCCTCAACGAGATCCATGCAACGACCGAGTTCGAGCTGGTCCACACTCGTTACACTTTGGGGGGTGTTCTCCGCCAGAGGGCCAGAGGTCGCCCACAGAGAGGCCCACTGTCTGAACCCCTGGTCTTGATGTTGCCGGAGCTACGCCTGACGAGGTATTGACCACTCTGTTGCACATCGACGACACGGTCGCTGTCAGCATGGTCTATGCACTTCTTGTATCACTCGCAATGCTGCGAGAATCGTCACAGAAATTAACCGTTCATCTTGAAGAGTATGCCAGATTTCCACTTGCTCGATTCTCACGAGCAGACGATAGGGAACAGGGCGAGCATCACGATGCGCAGCGCCATTACCTTTTTTGCAGCTGGCTTTCGTGATCATCACCCTGTCACACGTATCATACCACATGAGTTCTAATCGCTGCATGGCCCTTTTGCATATGATTCCGTACATGCAAAGAAAAGTAGCTCGAATCGTACAGTACCACTTCCTCCGACGAGGCAATGGCAACATATGCAGAACGTGCGCTTCAATTCCGCAGACTTGGATAACAATGTCAGGAAATCGTTAAAGCTCTTTACAACCTGCAGCCGAAATCACATACCAGAGCCTTCAAAGCGTCACCATGTGCCACAACTAGCAACTAGAATGTGCACGTCGGTGAGACCTTGTCACTCCATATGCTGCACGTACATCATCCTGCGCGTTCTTCCACCCTCCCTACTCCTCCACTCTCTCTCTCCTCCATCGCCATTTTAAGTTGCAAGGAGCTTCGCTTGCGTTTCTTCGACGTACCGCTCGCGACATGACACCTGCAGCGCGTCGTGGTGGCAACAGCACCAACAACAACACTGGGACGACCACCGCGGTCCCGGGCAACACGGCGGCGGCAGTGACAGCGACCGGGCGTACGACAGCGGCGGCAGTGACCAGCCCTTCCAGATTGGTTTGCTGGAGGCTTGACGGGCGCAGACCTTGAACTTGCGTTCTGCGAAAGAGTTCGAACAAATGAAACAAACGATCCGTGACGTAATGAGGGAACCCCACGCCGGCTTCGAACTCGACGCCCTCCGCGGACTCGCCACGCCGCAGCGCGAGGCGCCCAGGGCTTCTGGGTCTTCCGGGTCAGGCGGCCCCAATGTCGACGACATGGCCATGAGCGTCACGACTTCGATAGCCACGACCCTGGGCATCACAAGACTCCCGGACGAGCCGACGTTGGACATGGCCACTGCGAACGCCATCGCCCAGAAGGCTGCCATCAGGAAGGTGAATGCCTACACGAAGGACCACGAGCAGAGGATCGATCTGCAGTACAGAGCCCCCGCGTCTGATGAAGATCGTGTGGTCGTTCGGCAGAGAGAGGAGGAGGAGGAGGAGCAGGAGGAGGAGGAGAAGCAGCAGTTCTTGGCGCAGATTCGGAGCGAGGTCCAGCAGACGCCCCCGACGGTGCTGTGACTGGACACCGCAATCCCGCCCGAGCCGCTCGCGTCTCGGTTGCGGCTGGGGGCCTGGGCACAGTGAGGGTTAGAATAGCTTCTGGTACTTGCGACAGCGATGATTTACATTGACTGATTCATGTGCCACTTCTCGTGGGAGGATGTCGAGGCGGTGTGCGCTGGCATGTCGCATCTACTTCTGGGGCCAGGGAGCCGCGTGCTGCTGCGCCCCTTGCCCTTCAGGAGCTACCAGAAACGTTCGAGTTCTGTGAGCACGCCTTGTGCATCACCTGCGGATGCCTCCTCATGGGGGTTCGGCCATTTATACGCAGCATACCTGGGCACGTCTACTTCTAGCCTCTGGCAACCAGACTTTGGCGGTGGTTGGCCAGGGCAAGCGCTTAGCACACCCGATTCCTGGGGCAATTGCCCTCCGTACGGCGGAGGTCCGACATACCACAACATGCAATATCCTACTTTCCATGGCGGCGTTGGTATCCGAACGCCGGCTGCCGTGACGATTTGGCCTGCCGTTGCGCCGTCTTCGCCATTTGAACTCTGGGCTGGGCAATGCAAGGAAGGTTTGAGGTGGCGTTCTGCTGGCGAACACCCGCATGCTCAGCAAGGTTGGCCACAAGGCAAGTGCAACGTATTGGATTCGAAAGACCCGCCCCGCAATAGCTACTTTCGGCGGTAGGGGAAACACCCAGAATCTGTCCCAATGCTGGCTTCCCGTGAGCCTAGGGCCAGCAAGTACTCTGAATTTGTCGCAACGCCCGCTGCTGGTGGGCCGAGGACCATAATACCCAGAATTCGTCGTAACACGGTTCTCTGCAAAATCTGTTTGAGAAGCACGCGTCGCGCTTGCGTGCAACCACTGTGTCCGTAACCTTTAGGCGGCGTTCTCTTTTTAAAGCGTGCACAGCACAGGGGAGCGAATTGCCTGTGTCCCCACTCCATTCGCGAGCCGAAGAAAAAACACCAGCAAATTATCAGCACGGGGGAACGAGAGAGAGAGGTTTTTCAGGCTGGCTAGATTTCAAAGGTTCTTTGGGAGGGTCCGGAGGGGGAGGGGGGAGAGAGAATGGGAGGAGGACCAGGAAGGTAAAGGAGGAGGAGCGGGAACGGAGAGTGGGAAGGACGAGGACGAGGAGGAGGAGGAGGAGGAGGAAGAGGAGGAGTGGAAGGAAGAAATAAAAGACGGCCATCGGCAGCACCACCAAGAGGACAACAACGACGGGGCGGAGCGGGAGGGCGAGGAGTGATAGAAGTGGAGGGAGAAATGGGGAATGCATGGGTCTGCAAGGGTGATGGTGAGGATGATGACTATGGTGAATGATGATGGCGAAGAAGAGTAAGGAGGACGAGGAAGAGGAAGGGGAAGAGGAGGATGAAGATAAAGAGACGTAGTAAGAGAAAGAGAAAGGCCACGTCAAACTGTATTACGTGGTGGGGCAAAACCGCCGAGGCTGAAATGCTGCACTACACGGAGTGACTTCGCCGATAAGAGAGCGTGCTCCTCTGCAACTTGCGCACGCGCGCGGGGCGGTGCAGGCGGAGGGTCGTGGACTGCAGAGCGTGGAACACCTCGTTCTTCCACTGCTCCTGCGAAAACAATTATTTTCTTGTCTCAACCTTGCCGTCGGCCTCCCCTTCCATCTCGTCTCCTTGCCCCGGAAGCTTCCGAACACGTTATAGAGCCTTCGAAGCCATGACTGCCAACGTGGACCCAGGACTGTGAACTAATGCGCCGCGGATGTATGATCAACCTGGTGCAACCTATGTTGCGCAAGTTACGTGGAGCAAGCTATGCGGCGTAAGCTATGCGGTGCAAGTTACACAGTGCAGGCTATGTGGTGTAAGCTTTGTAGTGCAACTAAATTTGGCCAGCGCATGAGTTGCCTACTCCACTGCTCGCGTAAACAGCCCACCTTTTCACCCGCACCTTGTTTGACAAATCCTCCGGCCACGATTGTAGCCGCCTGTTGTAGCGCGTCGCTGCGGCCGCGCTGGCACGCGAGCATTCACGCGCAGGGCGACCAGCTGGTTCGGCACAAGTGGTGCGGCCGCGATGGCGTTTGCCGATGGGAATTTCC